TTTTTTTTAATATACGGTTTTATCCTGATTAAAGCTTTAATACAGTACAGCAACCGCATGCGCGTCCATGTTTAACGCTTCTCATAGCTATGTGAAAATAAGTATAATTGGAACAGTTCATTGTTGGAGCTGAGCTGAATGAGAGAGAGAGAGAGAAAGATGCAGAGCGTGTGCACAGCAGGGGAACAGGATTATTACACACTAACTAACGTTAAAAAAGTGAAATCGCAATCAACCACCCCTTTAAGAAACTTCAACTTCCATGGAACCATTAAAGGTTCTTCATAGTGGAAAAAACCTTCAACATCCACGCTAAGAAAAAAAATGGTTGTTTTAAGAACTGATCACTTCTTCGATGAACCCGCTTTTGGAGAGTTCACACACTCTTAAAAATAAAGTTTTTTTTATTGGCATCGATGGTTCCATAAAGAACCTTTAACATCCACAGAAACTTTAAACGGCAATTTATAGTGGAACTGTTGACTGAAAGGAATGGCATTCCTTTGGCGTTCAACGCAAAAACCTCTTTCAGAACTTTTACTTTTAAGAGTGTATTTCCTCGTCCTGTAATGAATAATCATCCTGTTCCACCTTCACTTGTCCAGGTGCATCTGCGTCGTCATTTTGACGGCCAGGCGTCGTCGTCGTTCCCTGGCAGCGAGCCTGATGCTTGAGGAAACTGTCTCTCCAGACGATCTTCTTGCCGCAGAGCGCGCACTCGTACGGACGCAGGCCTCCGTGCGTCTTGACGTGTTTGGTCAGGTGGTGCTTCATCTTGAAGCTCTTGGAGCAGACGGGGCAGGCGAACGGACGCAGGTTCAGGTGCTGCATTTTCACGTGGCGGTCGCGCATGCTCTTCAGCGTGTACGCTTTGCCGCAGTGACAGAAGTGGACTTTGGGCGTCGCAGAGAGAGGAGAGCACGGGGAGGACGAGGACGACTGCGAGACCCAGGAGAGCTCGGACGTTCCCGGCGCCAACTGGTTGGACGACGGCGGTGGCAAAGGGCGCTGGGAAATCTGCCCCGTGGCCTTCTCGATTTCGTCGTAGGTCTCGAACGCGACGTCCGTTTCGTCCTCCTCGTCTTCGTCCAGGAGCTTGGCGTCTGACAAAGTCCACTGGTTCCACAGTTCGTCCGTCTCGCCGCTCTCACTCTCTCTGAGACGTCCGTCCGACTCGACGGCTCCTGAGAGAAGACAAGAGCAGACAACAAGTCAAAAACACGTCGGTTCTCCACGTTTCCCCCTGGTGGACGGGCGCTAAACTGCAGTGATGAAGAAGCTCCACTCACCGGCCTGGTGCTCCTCACACTTAACCCTCACTTTGTCCTCATCCAGCGGCTCTCCGACTCCTTCATCCGCTTCCATCCTCCGCTGCTCCTCGTCTTCCTTCGCTCCTCGGAGGCGAGCGCGGATTCGGTGCCTTGGGAAGTCCGAAGTTTCGATGGACGGCAAAGGCGCGACGGGGAATGCGTGGAAACCTTCGTCTCCCGTATTCGGGCCGCATTCGGGCTCCGTTCGGACGGGGAACGTCAGGCTGCTTCTGCTCCACCTGCTCTGAGTCGGACGTCTCCATGTGGCCAGAGGCGGTAGTGCGCTTTGCGGCCGTTTTTCCAGAGTTTGTTCGCTCGCCGCTCGCTCCCCGTCCTCCGGATCGGCGAAGCAGCAGTCGGAGCTGCTGGGCGACTGGTGACTGGAGGACGTCGCCCCGCCGGGGCTGACCTGAACCAAAGGTCGTGACCTCTTCAGGATGTCCGTGCACTTGTCCACGATGTGCCACATCTGCAGGAAGCTGGCCACCGTGACGTAGTTGATGATGTCGTCGCGCACGATGCTGAGCTGACCCGTGTAGGCCGAGTTTAACACGCTCTCGAAAGCCAGAGGGTCCATGACTGAGGGAAGAGACACCGTGGTGACGTTCTTCAGCAGAACCTGGCAACAGAACCGCAGTGTTCAGAGCCGCTCCAGTTAGAGCTACGCCGTTTGTCCGTGCAGGACTGTAATGTGTGCTGTAGCATACTATGCTTTTCTGTTGCTAAATAACCAGGGGCCAGATTCACAAAACAGGCAAGACACTACAGATAAATAGAGTAAAAATTTTAACTAACAGACATCACTATACTTACAGTGCAATAAGACAATTGTTTTGTATTTCAAGTTTTCTGAAATGTTATGTTTAAATATTCAAATAAGGCATTATCTACTTGTATATGCATTCATTTGCATACATTTCCAGAACAGAAATCTGGAATTGGTCCAAAAAGTCTTGTTTGATTTTGTTGTCATAATTGGAGTCAAAGGTTTTTCCAGAGGGGATTTTGGATTTGTCTTTTCATCACGCCATAAATCAGAAAATACTAGAAAACAAAAACATTTTCACCATGTTTTTAGGAGTAAAATATTTAAATCAGTGTGAATGAAATATGAACAAGCCTTCAGAATATAGAGAGGAATAAAACTTATTATAATATTTATTTTTTAACGTGCGAAGATTGTTGTAAAGACAAAGCTTAAGTATTTGAATTCCTGAAAATGTTAGGCTATTAAAAATCATCGTAAATAACTTTTTAGGGGAAACTTGTCTTAAATCACCAAAAGTAAGATGTTTAATTAATTTATTGGGTGACAGATTAGATTGGTAAATGTTACGTTTTATGGTATATACCATTGTAATTGCATCAGTATACGATTCTACCATTAGTCTTATTTAATCTGTGTTGGTATGTTTTAAAATTAAACTGATTTTAACGATTTTTCCGTTTGTACAAAGATATGTCTGCTGTTAGTAAAAACATCTCAGGTAGCACTGAGACTAGAGATGATGGGACGCAAACAATGCAAGTATTGCCTAAACATCCTCCTCATAATATAATAATAATAATGTCTTGTTTACGGTTGCTTGGTGATTTTTAGTTCTCGGCTAGACGGTGTAACAGCTTACTATCATCATAACTGTTCTATTCGCAGCTGTTGCTTAAAGTCCCTATTATACTGCAGAAGTAGTACCACGGGTTGCTTAGAAACAGACATCCAATCATAAACTTCCTCAATGTCAGCATTGATTAATATTTATACTGTTCGTACAGTCGCAGAAATTTAAACATTTTGTATTTTTCAGGTCGCAAGCTGTCAATCAAATTCAAAATCAAACCGTCGAAATCAAACCGTCATAAATATGCAAATGATGGCATTTACTCAGGCTTTAGATATATGTAGAGTGTGAAATCAGTGTGAAATCGGTGCCACACTCACCTGGTCGTGGAAATACGGCGATGAAGCGGCCAGCACACCCCGGTGCGCGCGGAACACCTGACCCTGCACCTGAATGGACAGGTCACACAGCTGACCCTCCTCGCGCTGCCGGTTCAGATTCTCCAGAACCGACGCGCGGGCGCTGGGGAAACACACCTGCAGCACCGGGCCTAGCGGATGACCGTTAAACGGTCATCACAGTCTTGTGAAAAGGGTCCATTATCCATTTTACGCTTAGTAATTTATCAATTTAATACATTTAATAATTTTGAAGTTTAGTTTAGAAGTATCGATATCGACGATACTGGCCTTTAAAAAGTATCGGTATCGTATCGAAAACAAAATAAGTGGTATCGCCCATCCTTATTTTGGACAACTACAGCGGATTTTTACGCGGCGGGCGGCGTCGCCTCAGCAACAATCAGGTCGCAAGCTGTCAATCAAATTCAAAATCAAACCGTCGAAATCAAACCGTCATAAATATGCAAATGATGGCATTTACTCAGGCTTTAGATATATGTAGAGTGTGAAATCGGTGCCACACTCACCTGGTCGTGGAAATACGGCGATGAAGCGGCCAGCACACACCGGTGCGCGCGGAACACCTGACCCTGCACCTGAATGGACAGGTCACACAGCTGACCCTCCTCGCGCTGCCGGTTCAGATTCTCCAGAACCGACGCGCGGGCGCTGGGGAAACACACCTGCAGCACCGGGCCTAGCGGAGCGCTGCGGCCGACGAGCTGCTCCATCCTGCCGGGGAGAGAAACACCCGCGACCGCGGAGGAGATGAGAGCCAGAGCCGAGCCCGGATCCGATATCACGGGTATATAATCACACAAGAACCGCTCCGGTCAATCCGTCGTCAGATAGTCACACAAAACGCGTTTCGTCCGCCGTTATTCTGGTTCAGGCCCGCAGATCAGGCCCGCTCAACCGGATCGAACTAGCATATCATAACAGGCTATAATAACACACATCAGGCGCTTATGTGAGCGGGACATGAAGATCCAGCACTAGAGAACAGGCCGTGTGTTTATCTGCTGTGATGATGATGAAGATGAAGATGGACGTGAATATGAGACGTCTGCTGCTTGTGTGTGTGCTCTGCGCGCTCTCCGGTGAGTCTCACCCTCAGGACTGCAGCCTGGGGCCCGGGGCCCGCTGGGGATTTAACCAAATTAATTAGATTAAAATGGAAAATCATTTTTTTAAAAATGGATTAAAATGTATTTAAATGAACGAATGATTAAAAAAGCGACATTTTAATTTTTTTATTTAAAAATATATACTTTATATTGCATTTTATTTTTTGCGCCAGTCTGATGCCTGAGTGTCTACCGCGGAGGCAAGTTACAGTCTGCATGATGCGCTGCGTATGAATATATTAAAATGAATGCTTTATTTAGATGCTAATTCATGTCGCAGATGATCTAAACAGAGCTGCTGTTGATCTCGGCTCATTGATTTGATTTTAAAGAGTCAGGAAAGCAATAAGGCAGAGAATCGGGGCCCTTGGCTGGTTTTGCACACTAAACATCTTTGTAGGTCACATGACTCTTCTGAAGGTCTCCTGAGCGGGACATGAAGATCCAGCACTAGAGAACAGGCCGTGTGTTTATCTGCTGTGATGATGATGAAGATGAAGATGGACGTGAATATGAGACGTCTGCTGCTTGTGTGTGTGTTCTGCGCGCTCTCCGGTGAGTCTCACCCTCAGGACTGCAGCCCGGGGCCCGGGGCCCGCTAGGGATTTAACCAAATTAATTAGATTAAAATGGAAAATCATTTTTTAAAAAATGGATTAAAATGTATTTAAATGAACGAATGATTAAAAAAGCGACATTTTTATTTTTTTATTTAAAAATATATATTTTATATTGCATTTTATTTTTTATATAAATAAAACATTTGATTGAAATAAATAAATAAATACAACAATGCATATAAATAAATCTGATCAAATAAATCCATTGATAAAAATAAATAACATTTGATTTAAATAAATAAATAATACATGCAGTACTGTAATTGCAATGTAAAGAAAAACATGATTCAAATAAATGTTATTAAAATTATATGTTATATAAAAATTATTTAAAATGACATTTTTTTTGTAAATAAGAAAAAAATAAATACATTCGTTTAAATAAGCAAAACATGATGCAAATAAATAAATAAATAAATTTAAGGTAAATAAATTGATCAAATAAATAACCTTTGACTTGAAATGTAAAAAATACAGTGCTATAGTGAGCAAAAAAGAATGCAATGATAAAACTAAATAAACAAAACTTAAATATTTTTGATTAAAATAAAATAAAATAATTGTAAATAAATACAAATTGATGTAAATTAATGCATTTGATTAAAATGAGTACATTGATCAAAGTAAAAAAAAATTAATTTAACAAAAGCAGTTGGTTAAAATAAATAAATAATGATTTAAAAATGCATTTGATAAAAATAAAAGTTACAGTTAAGTAAAAAAAGAATAAACTTGCTTATAATAAATAGATAGACTAAAATAAAATTTGTTGTAAATAATAAATAACTGAATAAACGAAGCATTCGACTGAAATAAAATGAGAGTTAAATAAATGAGTAATACAGTACAGTGCTATAACGAGCAGCAAAGAAGGCAAGGATGTAGCGTAATAGAAACTTTCCCCAGTGTTGATGGGTATTTGAACATAAATGCCGGGGTCTGTGAAGGTGTTGTGTTATAACTGTGTCTCTGCAGTGTCTCTGTGCAGCGGAGCCTGTGCCGAGGTGGACTCCGACACTGAAGCTGTGGCCGGAGAGCCCTTCAAGCTGGGATGCATCTCCTGTAAGATGCGCGGAGAGGTGGAGGCCTCAGCCACCGTCGACTGGTTGTTCAAGGCGCGAGGAGAAGCCGACTTCGTGCACGTGAGTTAAACGAGACGCGCTCGAAACTGATTTAGATAAATGCATAGTAATTTAATACGGTTCATTAAAATAAATAAATTGATAAGAAAAATAACTTTAAAATGAATCGCTATACAAACTGAATAAATAAAATTAATCTGAATAAATAAAAAATGAATGACTAAATAAACAAACAAAAGCATTTGTTAAAAATAAATACAACATTGTTCAAATCAATACATTTCATTAAATTCATTGATTCAAATAAAATAGTAGTAATTTTAAATAAATAAAACATTTTTTTTAAATAAAATTTTTTTATTATTTAAATAAATAAAGTAAAATAAATTAAGTTTAATGTAAATAAATAAATAATTGAATGACTATATAAACAAAAGCATTAGATTTAAATAAATAAAACGTTAGTAAAATATATTAAATTAAAATGTTGACTAAAATGATGTAAATAAAGAATATAAAGCAAACGCCTTTGATTAAAATAAATAAAACATTAGTAAAATAAATATACTTAATTAAAATTAATCAAATTTGATGTAAATAAGTAATAAATGAATGACTAAAATAAACAAAAGCGTTTGATTAAAATAATTGAAATTTGATGTCAATAAAAATAACATTGATAGCCGTCTCCGTCTGTATCTGAGGTGTTTCTGCTGAGCTCTGGCGTGTCTCCTGGACAGATTTATAGCTACGACGGCGAGGCGTCCAGCATCATCGACGAGCGCTTTCAGGATCGCATGGAGTGGCACGGCAGCAAGAAGACCTTTGACCTTCAGGACGCGTCTGTGGACCTCCTCAACGTCACCTTCAACGACTCCGGCGTCTACCGCTGCATCTTCAACCGAGTCCTCAGCTACGAGCACTACGAGTTCTCCACCATCGCCACCAAACTGGTGCCCCTCACCGTCGTGGCCAAAGGTACGACAACACCTGACATCTGCGTCTCAATCACTGTTTTTTCTGGTGAATGAAATGCATAAATGAATAGCCAAAATATTAAACATTCCTTGCATCAGCTGTATGCAAAGTGTATTTGGTTTTCGTAATAAATTATATTATTTCGAAAATGGGTCAAATTTGCACATGGAGCCACATTGTGATCCTCGTATCTCTGGAACTGAACTACTTGGGACCTTGACAGCAAAAGAAAAGTTCATTAAGAACCATAATCTCAAAGGATATTGAGATATATATATAATACGTTATGAGTTACAAGCATGCAAACTTTGGCAAAAGAGCATTTTTGTTACTCAGACAAGTCTGTTCAATGCAGTAGTTTTGATAGAGTCTACATTTATAGTTTCAACATTATTTGTTCTTCAGACGTTCTTCTTTAATTACAGAAAATATCAGCTGAATGCAAAGTGACCCACATTTGGTTTTTGACCATTAAAAATGGGAAAATTCAACAACTTGGAAATGGAGCCGTAATGAGATCCCAATATCTCTGGAAATGAACCAAAATGGACCTTAAAAAGAAAAATTATACCAGAAGAAAAGCTTAAGAACCATAATCTAATAACATATTGAGATATCTTTAATATTTCTTGGGTTACAGGCTCACGAACTTTGGCAAAAGAGTATTTTTGGCACTCGGACAGGTGTGTTCAATTCAACTGTTTTTATAGAGAAAAATGAGATGCATTTCTAGTTTCAACATTATTTGAAGAGTTAATTTGCAAAAACAGATAACTCCGTTTTTAACAATTCTCAAAAATCATGTTTTTTCATTGTGCATTCCAATTAATCTCAATCAAAAAATTGCAGTTGGGTTATTTTGATTAGGTTAAAAAATAACAAAAAATTACAGCTAACTAACACAATAAAAACATGATTACATAATAAAAAACATTATAGAGTTATCTGTTTTTGCAAATAAACTCTTCATTTGTTCTTCAGCCGTTCCTGTTTAATTACAGTAAATATCAGCTGAATGCAAAGTGACCCACATTTGGTTTTTGACCATTAAAAATGGGAAAAGTTCAACAACTAGTACCCGGTATCTCTGGAAATGAACCATATTGGACCGTAAAATTGGAGACGCCAAAGGAAAAGTTCATGAATAATTAGAACCTAAAATCATATTGAGATATCTCTAACACTTCTAGAGTTACAGCTATGCAAACTTTGGAAAAATGAAATTTTTCTCACTCAAGCAGGTATGATTTATGCATTTGTTTCGATAGAGAGAAATGAGATATATTTCTAGTTTCAACATTATTTGTTCTTCAGACACTCCTGTTTAAATACAATAAATATCAGCTGTATGCATAGTGACCCACATTTGGATTTCCACCACACTGAGATCCTCATATCTCTGGAAATAAACCATACAGGGCCTTAAAAATGAAGAAGCTGAAGGAAAAGTTGGTTAAGAAGCAAAATCTAAAAGGATTATATGATATCTACAGTTATAGTCATGCAAACGTTGGGGGAAAAAGACAAAAAGCACTTTTTCTTCATCTTTGAAGTGTCACCATTGGCATAGAATGCAACACAGATTGCTAAAGTCAACAGATTTGACTAATAGAGCTTTTAATCTCTGTGTAAAAATAACATTACGATGCTGCCATCTCCTGTAATTTGTCTCCCAATCTCAGATGAAAAATGTCATCCATTGCATTTAATATTTTGGCTTTCATCACTATTCATGTTTGTCTTTCTTCAGACAAAAATGCTAACAAACTCCACTATTGTAGCTGGGTAAGTTTGTGAAGGGTCTTGATTTGAATCATTGTGAGCGAGAGCAGAGCGTGTGTTTCGTTGCAGCCACGCGCAGCACGGCGTCCATCGTGTCGGAGGTCATGATGTACGTGTCCATCATCGGCCTGCAGCTCTGGCTCCTGGTGGAGATGATCTACTGCTACAGGAAGATCGCCGCGGCCGGAGAGGAAGCGCTCAGAGCCAGCGCGTCAGTAACACAAACGCATCAGTTATTAGAGTCAACTAAAACTAAAAACAAACTCACTTGGGGGAAAATATTACTGAAATCAAATAAAGCAATAAGCCCCGTGAAGCCGTGGTTTACAGTGAATTTATAACAGCTAAGGGGCGTTGTTAGGTAAATTCACTGTAAACCACAGCTTCACGGGGCTTATTGCTTTTATAAAACGGTTATTCCATATACGTAGTAAGGTTTCACAAAATAAAACAGCAAATAAAGTGTAATGATATTAATAAAAACAGTATTTACAGTAAATTTATAACAGCTAAGGGGCGTTGTTAGGTAAATTCACTGTAAACCACAGCTTCACGGGGCTTATTGCTTTTATAAAACGGTTATTCCATATACGTAGTAAGGTTTCACAAAATAAAACAGCAAATAAAGTGTAATGATATTAATAAAAACAGTATTCTTCCACCAAACAATGTAGTTCCTCAGAAACAGTTGTGGTTCCAACAAAGTGGTTGCCGAGCAACACACAAACGTAAACAAAGGTGTATGTTACTTTGTAGAGTCATTTACAACAGCTTCGAACGCGGCTCAGCCAATCAGAATCAAGCACCGGAACTATCTGTTTTATAATAAAATATTAAAAACCTTTTATTTCAGCTAGTGGCCAAGGCAACATTGTCATTTAGTTTAACTAAATCTGAACAAATAAAAATGGAAAACTATTTAGACATGCATATAAATATATACAAATATTTATATTTTATAAAATATAAATACTATTTATTATTTTATTATTATTAATATTATAATAAAATTTATAAAATAAGAATTACTTGAAAGACAAAAATACACAACAAAATTATTAAAACTTTAAGATTAAAATAAAAATGGAAAATATGAAAATAAAAATTGATTCAAAATATTAATAAAAGTGGTATTAGTGTCTCAATGACATAAGATAAACGCTTTGACTAACGATGTATGTGACATTTCAGCCTAAAATCACGTCTGTGTTATTTGTCAGCTATCCTAAAATAAAATCAGAAATATCTGTTTGATGACGATGGTTTTCAACAACAACAACAAAAAATTATTTTTGAATTTAATATGAATTTAATTATTAAATTCAAATTTACATGTCTTGTTTACTCATTATTTTTATTAAAACTAAAATTAAAGCCACATTTTCAGGACTTAAAATAAAGTCAAATAAAATATAAAAACTTTATTTCAGCTAGTTGCCCATCAGTATTTCTCAGTTTCATTTAGTTTTGCTTTATGTTCTAAAATAACTAGAGCTAAAATGTTTAGAAATGTTGTAGACGTGTAAAATAAACACAAACTTCTAAAAATGACAAAAACACACGATAAAATTATTAAAACGTTAACTAAAATTCAAATAAAACGGAGAATATAAAAATAACAACTGATTCAATTCAACTGATTTAAATTATTGTTCAGTGGAGATGGTTTATATTTATATATATATATATATATATATATAAATAATTTATATATTTATAAATAATCATTAAATGAAATTTTACAGGATCAAAAGTAATAGTTTACTGAAACTAAAATGAAGAAAAACGAACGTTTTCATGACTTCAAACAAAACAAAAATGTCAAGTAGTTGTGAAGGCAGCGTTTCTCGTTTTTATTTCATTTTACTCGATGCACTAAAATATCTGAAACTAAAACTGAAATAAACCAAAACACAACGAAATGACTGAAATCAAAGCAGATTCAAAATATCTTTTAAAACACAGCAGTATCTCAGTAATACTAAAATAAGTATTTTTGCAGCGGTGTGTATGTATGTTCCTTCAGGAGATGCTTGTGTTGTGTGTTGCAGAGCGGAGTATCTGGCCATCGCGTCCGAGAGCAAAGACAACTGCGCCGGTGTGCAGGTAGCAGAATGAGTCCACTAGCACAGGTGAGTTAACTAGCAGCCCTAACTAGTCCTGATTTCCCTGCTTTCTCTTTCCAACCTCTCTCTTGTTTCCCGTCCGCAGGTTTCTCCGGGACGCTCTTCCTTCTGAGCTGCTGTCACTGTCTCTGTTTTATAAGCGTTTGTTTCCTCTTGACCTGACCTCCTCCGCATGACCTTTATATGCTATGCATGGATAAAACCACAGCAATACTCTAGAGACGCAGTACACTGAGTTTGCACTAGAGATCAGTAAAGAGCAAGCCATCTTTGTTGGTCTTGCCACATACTTATATCCAGTGTTGGGGGTAACGCATTACAAGTAACGTAATCAGATTACTTTTTCAAGTAACTAGTAAAGTAACATTACTTTTTAATTTACAAGAGAATATCAGAGTTACTTTTTCAAATACGTAACGCATCCCATTCTATAAACCAATGTCTTCGATGATCCAGTTCAACCGTACTAATAAGCACAAATTACTCCAGACAAACATTTGTGTGTCTTTTTTTTATTGCTGAAGTGTTGAAATGTCTTCTTCTGCATTCTACTGTACGGACGTAACTTTACTTTCAGCCTGAGGCTTATTCATTTCACTTTTGGTGTGAAAAGGCTTAAAATAGAACTTTTTATTTTAAAAACAAACAAGCAAGAAAAAGTAACACAAAAGTAACGCAACGCATTACTTTCCATAAAAAGTAACTAAGTAACGTAATTAGTTACTTTTTCATGGAGGAACGCAACATTGTAACGCATTACTTTTAAAAGTAACTTTCCCCAACACTGCTTATATCTATATATATATTTATATATACGTGTATCTATACTGTCAGACCATCTGAGAGCCAAACGCCATGCAATGCTACGGAATGCAAACGCAGTTTCTATACGCTTCTACGCCGGGAGGAAACTCAGCGAACGCTATAAACGACGAGCTCAAGAGAGTTTCTAACTCGTAGTTGTTGTATAATCCAAGTGCAATATGAGAATCTAACTCTAGCTCTTGTATGTAGCAAGCACTCGCTGAATGTGTGAAATGCATTGTGGGTAAGCGCAGTAAGACGCAGGGCGGAGAGAAATTAAATGAGTTCAAATGAGTTCTGTGGACTCTTTCATTTGTGAGCGGAAGCGGTGTGTTTGTTAATGCAGTCGTTGACTAGAACTAACTATGACTAACTAACGCCATTCGAGCGCTGGGCAGAAAATGTACAAATATTAAAGAGTTTAACACAATCCTAGCATGATTCAGACATATTAACAGTGTTTTAAAGGTCCAAGACCAATTTAGAAACAGTTTTACAATTATGTAAAGATGTATAAATTGATATAAAGTACTGTACTTTATGGATTCTTATTGCACTTTACATCGTAGGTCGCTCTAATGTTATTTCGTTGTTATTTATGACAATAAAGAGTTGTAAAATTTTACATTTTACACAGTTGGTGATATATACACATTACATTTTCTATATAAAATTAAATGTCATATGAATAGAATTTATCATACAAGATATAATTTTACAGTTGTAGATTTTATTGCACTTAAAAAATGGTGTAGAAACAATTTTAGTTTATATAAGTTGTAAATTATAAATCAGTGATTAAGTCATAAACTTAACAGTATTTTAAAATAATCACAACAGATGATAAAGACAAAATTAACAGTATATAAAATAATAATAAAATTATCGTTACAGATGGTTAAGAAAAATATTAACAATCATAACCTGATTCGGACAAAGTTAACAGCATATAAAAACAATCATAATATAATCATAACAGATGATGAAATAGAATTAACAAAGGTATTAAAAATAAATAAATAAAAAAGGTAATTGGGACTTTTTTAGCTCACTTTTTCTTTTTCAATTCTGACTTTCTTGGCAAAATAAAATAAATAAAAAATATTTAAATAAATATTTAAAATATTTTTAAAAATATATATAAACTTGAAAATTGAAAAAAATAAATAAATATATATAATGATTATAAATGTTCCAAATTTAAATATTTTATCAGGTAGAAATTAATCCGTGAGTATAGTAATAATATTATTGAAACTGGAATTATGGAATTCAATTACTATAATTAATTAATTTCTAATAATTTTATTTAAATATTATTATAATAAATATAAACTATAATATGTGTGATCCTGGAGCACAAACCCAGTCATAAGGGTAAATTTACAAATATACCCCAGCGACTTAAGACTGCTTTTGTGCTGCAGGGACACATATATGAGCTCCTGAATGCCGTTCATGCAGATTAATTCTTCAGACAGTGGTATAAAGAGGATGTGTGCTGGTCCTTCAAGAGTCCTTCAAAACGTATCTGTCCATAAAGCCTGTAATAACCAGTCTTCATGTATTTCTCAACACTTCAGCATGTGATTGTTATTAAGTGAGGGTCATTCTTCAGGATGTGTTACCCAAGCAAACACCTTGTTCTTCTGGAGACTAATGCTTCCTGATGCTTTTACACCTAATTCTTAAATCTTTCGCAGTTAACACGTCTCTCTTCTTCTCCAGCTGTGTTTTCTGATCCCGCTGTCCAGTGGACATGTCTTAACTCTGCAGTTTCTGTATTGCATTAGTTTTGAGTATTTCTCATGGGGATTTAATATAGGAAATTATGATCCGCACTCACGAGAACAATCTTCTTTTTTCTTTTATTTTACATTCATTACTGATGGGAGAAGACACCTCATGGGGATTTAATACCTTTAAGTTAAATCTCTTTTTTGGCTCATTTTATCAGTGGAAGAAAACATGCTAATAATTGTGCACAGCTGAATGAGTGTGTAAGTGAGTGTGTAAGTGAGTGTGAGAGAGTGTGTGAGAGTGTAAGTGAGTGTGCGTGAAAGTGTGTAAGAGTGTGTGTGAGAGAGTGTAAGTGAGAGTGTGTGAGTGTGTGTGTAAGTGAGTGTGTGTGAGAGTGTGTGAGTAAGTGTGTGTGAGAGTGTGTAAGTGAGTGTGTGTGAGAGTGTGTGCGTGAGTGTGTGAGAGTGAGTGTGTGAGAGTGTGTAAGTGAGTGTGTGAGAGTGTAAGTGAGTGTGATGAGAGTGTGTAAGCGAGTGTGATGAGAGTGTGTAAGTGAGTGTGTGAGAGTGTGTGAGTGAGTGAGTGAGTGTGTGAGTGAGTGAGAGTGTGTAAGTGAGTGTGTGAGAGTGAGTGAGTGTGTGTGAGAGTGTGTAAGTGAGTGTGTGAGAGTGTGTTATTGATTGGGCAGATGTTTTGAGGGTTGTCGTGTTTGTTTTGTCGGACACGAGTTGTGATGCGGATCGGTTTTGTGTTCGTTAATACTTTGATTCGGTTTCGCGGAATAAAGTTAAATCAGTACATTTAGTTTACACTTCAATTATCGTAGAAACAGTTTTGCAGTTATGTAAATTGTACATTTTGCACAGTTGATTGTATATCTTACATTTGATATATGCATATATATATATATATATATATAATTAAATGTCATAATTTATCATACAAAATAATTTAGATACAATTTTACAGGTAAATTTTATTACACTTAAAAATGGTGTAGAAACAATTGTAGTTGTACATTTTTATAGATTGTGAATTTTACAGTTACATTTTAAATATTGAATTTTAATTTATATTATATATTTATAAATACATTTACACAATTAAATGTCATGTAAATACAATGTATAATGCAAAATATAGTTTAGATATTATTTACAGTTGTAAATTTCAGTAAGTTGTACATTAATCTTTAATAAATGGTGTAGAAACAAATTTAGTTGTAAATTTATATACATTGTACATTTTACACACATTTACAGTTAATGATATTTATATTATATTACAGTTTGTTTTTAAATTTATCATGTATTCATATTTAATAATATTTTTAAATTTTGTGTTTTTTGAACATTAAAGCATGTTAACATATTCTGTTACACCAAATACACAAAATAATGATCTTTAAAAAAAGCATCATATGACCCCTTTAATAAACTTTTATGTCAACCTAAATATTCTAAAATATAATTGATATTTTATGTAAGTATTGTATTAAAATATTACGTCAGCCTAAATTAGTATCCAGTCTGTTAAAAGACTCCAATAATATTATAAAATTTTATAAATATTTAAGTATTTTAATAAAATATTGATGTTTGTCAAACTAAATATTACAAAATATAATTTAAGTATTTTAATAAAATACTTATGTTTATGTCAAACTAATATTAAAATAAACTTAGTTTATTAAATTATTTAATATTTCAAAATTAAGTTCAACCTAAATCAGGATCCAGGCTATTAAAAGTCCTAAAAAATATATTATATTATTTAATTATTATTTATGTGTTTTAATAAAATATTACATCAACCTAAATCAGTATCCAGTCTATTAGAAGGTGAAATAATATGATAAAATATTACAGTGTCCCCAAATAATGTTTTTAGAATGACTAGGACTGTTCATCATCGCGCTGTGTCTAAAGTTACCGTGACTTGCACAGAAAGGCCGCTGGTGTGGTGTGTTTGTGAAATATGAGCGTGATGAATGCTGCATGGATGGAGTCTGATCGCTGATCTGTGTGAGTGATGCAGCCGAGCGAGAGAGAGAGAGAGAGAGAGAGAGAGAGAGAGAGAGCGATCACATCCCGCTGGTCGCCATAGTAACGCAGAGTTGGCTCCTCTTCCAGAACAGCTCTTCTCTCATCCCAGCATCTCTGCGCTCAAACACTTCCCTCTGACACCCACCTCTCTCTCTCTCTTTCTCTCTCTCTATCTCTCTCTTGAGCGCTATATCAGTCGTTTTTTAGCCCGGTCGCCATAGTAACGGGCTGGGGGTGTGCGGGCGAGCGAGCGAGCACGTGTGACAGAGAGAGAGAGAGTGAGCAAGTGGGCGTCACGGAAGTGACATCTCTTAGGCTCTAACCCATCTTCCTCTCTCTCTCTCTCTCTCTCTCTCTCTCTCTCTCTGTCTC